CCCCTCCCCGCGTCTGCACTGCCCCCCGTATCCCCGGGTCCACATCTCCCTTTCCCGGGTGGGACCCTCAACCCCCCCGAGCCAGGGTCTGCAGCCCCCTTTTCCAAGCGGGACCCCCAGGCTCCCTTGCCCACCCCGATCTCCCCCAGCTCCCTGGTTTCCTTCCCCCTGCCTGGGTCTGAGTGCCTCCTTCCTCCCGCCACCTTGCCAGAGTCTGCACCACCACCCCATGCCCGGGTTTGCGCCTCTCTCCCCCAGGTGGAAGCCCTCCGACCAACCACTGTGCCTGGGTCTGCACCCCCTCTAGCCTGGGCAGGACCCCTAACCCCCGATGCCTGGTCGCAACTCCTCCTCCAACCTCCCCTCCATGCCAGGGTCCCCCCCCATGGGACCACCTCATCCCCCATGACTGGGTCCCTGCTTCCCCTCCCCGGGTGGTGAGACCCCCCCCTTAACTTCCGTGCCTGGATTCCTGCCTCCCTGCCCTCAGGTGGTGAGACCCGCATGCCTGGGACCTTGCCTCCCCTCTCTGGGTGGTGAGACCCTCCCCAGGCCCATGACCAGGTCTCATTGGCAGTCTCAAGCACTGCTGCTTCCCGTCTAGAGCAGGGGTTGAGCAGCAGGAGGGGGTGGTTCTGGGCAGGGGAATCCTGCAGTTAATGCTGGGATCCCCAGGCAGGGGGTGGCGCTTCCCCATTGCACTGAGGCAGATGTGCATTTGCAGCTACAGGCATCTGAATGGGACCCCAGGGAGAGAGGAAGCCTTTTTGAGCTGAGGAGGGAGCAGGGATGGGGATCCCCAGCCTTCCGCCCAGGGATTTTGCAGAAAACCTTGAGCTGCTCATCCCCATCTAGTACAGCAGGCTGAGCACCTCTGCCCTGGCCCTGGGGCACCTGACTGAGCATTGGCATCAGCTCCTGGGAGACTGCTTTCTGCAGCTGGGACCAGAGAACCTCCTAGGGCCTGATCCCAAAGCCCATTCACATCAATGGAAAGCTAAACCTATTAGAAGCAATGGGAATCTTTCCATAGGCTTCAGCGCAACAGGCCTCCAAGGAATAAAGAGGGTGCCCAGGAAGGCAAAAATTGCTGGAGGGACCCTGCCCTCTCCCTTCCAAGACTGTGCTCATTAAAGGCAAACTGCAGCTGTTGGGACTAGGATCCCCGGGGCTTGTTGGGCATCCTTTGACAAACAGAAATCAAACAGGGTGAGACACCGGAGGACTCTGCAAAGGCACTTTGCATGTAATAAAATGACTGCTGAGAATTCCATGAGTGCTGCTGGACCCAATGTGCATTTCCCCCAGACAGCACCTGCAGATTTGTCTTCCCATACTAAGAACAGCTTAGATATTGTGGCCATATGTGTTAATGCAATCAGCACTTCTCCCTCCCCACACCAAAGGATGCCTTCACAAGTGACTTCCATACCTGGTGGATCGTAATTCACTTACTATGTAATCCTTTCTAGGATTTGTCTGCAGCAGTTTGCCAAAAACACCTTCACAGAATTTGCAGGAGTGAGCTAAAATGAAAGGAAGTGTGCTTTAAAACTAAAAAATACAAACTTTGCTAATTACTTCTGTTGGGGAAATTTGCTTTTAATCTCAGTGTAAATGGGAAGTATCCATGTACAGTATTGGGCAGAACTTCTAAAGCTGTTAATCCAAAACCCTCTATGCATTTACTCAGGGCTGAGGTTCGCGTGTTAAGCCTCCCAGCAAGTGTATCATACATAGTTAATTCTTCCCATTTTTTTTCGGAGAAAAGAGGGTTGGGCCATTTTAGAATAAATACATATAAATTGTATTAGAAACCCTTTGGAAAAAGTGTGTTGTCAAAGAAAACTCCTTTAGCATGTTGCATGGGTGTTCTTCAGATTATATATCTACTGCCTCAGACACCTGCTTCAGAAAGTGAATGTCTTCACAATTTTTTTTTGTTCATTTAAATGCACAGTGCATTTTTAGGATGCATTTATAATAAATTTGTGTGATTCTTCTTAAAACACTTGGAATGCATTATGTAAATTTAGCAAGAAGAGATGAGCATTATCCCAATGTATTTTTCCCATTAAGGTACAGAGTTTTGAATGAATGCTTTAAACTAATGGAGACATTTTGCAAATTTACATATAGTTCTAGACAGTCTCATTGGTATTCACTGTCCATTGTGCTGTAAAAAAGCCCTCCCCAAATCCATGAGAAAACAAAAGCTTATTTCTCCTTGTTTCGGAAGAAGATATTACTACAAGAAGTTATCACATCTGAAAGTAATTCTAAGATGGAACACAGCATTCAAATGCTTTTGACATCATCCCTGACTGCAGAAGCAAACCTCTGAGGCTGCACAAGTGGCCTGTTCCCCCCGCAGCCTGATCCAAAGCCCACTGAAGTCAACTGAAGTTTCTATTGTTTTCAGTGGCCTCTGGTTCAGGCGCTCCCTGCTGCTGCTTCCTGGGAAGCATGCAGATGCTCAGGTGTGATGTTGAGATATGTCTCTTTCCCACAGACTAACTGTAGCTTGAATTTACCAGCATCCTTCTGGAAGGAACCTGGATTAGTCATCACTTTGCCACGGATGGACTGTGAGGTAGTTATTCATGGAGATTATAGGTCATGAAAATTCCAGTTCTTTCCTTAAAAGTAACATCCCCTCCACTACCTCCCTATGTTAGTATTTTTTTTAAAGTTGATTTTGAAAGGACTTGAGAGGAAAGACAGTGTTGCAATTAAGCTCTGAGGCTTATCACAGATAATAGCTTCCTCCAGACATAGTGAAATGCGAACATTTGTTTTATGCACTGATGAGCATGTTTCTTTAAGGAGCTATGGCTCAGAGAAGCAGTGGAGTTAAAGAATGCCTTTGCCAAGCTGTTTAGCACAAATCTAGTATTAGACTCTCTCCCAGACCCTCTATTTCATACCTGTCTATGGATTTTATTCCTATGAATGGGCATAACCTGGGAAAGGGAAACTTCTAAAGTCCTTTTCAGCTTTTTTTGTGCTTGTACCTCTCAGTGAACAGACATTCCATTACCCACCTGGACAAAAAGGATCCTTCTGTAGCAAAAGCTGCAGGCTCCCTGCTCAACTTCAGACGTAGGCTATGTCTATAGGTGCAGTAGTGCAGCCATATCAATGGAGCTGTGTCCCTACAATGCATCTGGCGAGGATTCTGTCTATGCCAGGGGTTTTTGAACTACAGGTCATGACCCAGTACCAGGTCACTGAATGTCAGGCACTGGATCTCGTTGCTGCAAGGTGATCAGTGGGGGTGCTAAGACAGGTTCCCTGCCTATCCTGGCACTGCAGACTGCGCTGTGCCTCAGAAGTGGCCAGCAGCAGGCCTGGCATCTACGTAAGGGGCGGGGGGCAGAAGCGCTCATGGGGCTCCATGCACTGCCCCTGCCCTGAGCACTAGCTTTGCACTTCCATTGGCTAGAGCCTGCTGCTGGCTGCTTCTGAGGCACAGCATGGTCTCTGGTGCCAGGAGGAACAGGAAGCCTGCCTCAGTTCCTCTGCTGCACTATTGACTGGCAGCTGCTCAAGGTGAGCTTGCCCCAGCCCTGACCCACTCCCCCAAAGTTGAAGCTCTCATCCTCAGCCCCACCCCAGAGCCCACACTTTAGTCAAATTATGTTGGGTCACAGGCATCAACAATTTTCTTCAACTGAATCGTGAGAAAAAAAGTTTGAAAATCGCTGCTCTACACCAGCCGGAGAGACCTCTTCTGGGAGCACAATAAACCATCTCCACGAATGGGAAAAGCTCTCCTGCTAACGCAGCATTATGCTCATGAGCGTTTATGTCAGTATAACATGTCACTCGGGGAAGAAGGGCATTGTTAGTCACACCCCTGTAGGACATGAATTGTACTGACGTAAGCTGAAGTGTAGACCAGTGGTTCTCAAGCAGAAGTATGCACTGGTCTTTCGGGGGGGGGCATTTTGCTGTTTGCCTAGTTTTACAACAGACTACATGAAAAGCATTAGCAAAGTATTTACAAACTAAAATTTCATACTATTCACTGAAATGTAAGTGCAATAGTTATATTCCAATTGACTTAGGTTATAATTCTATGGTAAAAATAAGAAAGGAAGCAATTTTTCCAGTTGTGCTTTGACACTTTTGTATTTTTAGGTCTGATTTCATAAGCAAGTAGTTTAAGAGACGTTGAAACTTGGAGGCCCACAGGAGAAATGAGACTCCTAAAAGGGGTACTGTGGTCTGGAAAGGTTGAGACCCTCTAGTTTAGATATAGCCTTAGAACTGAGAAACATAAGCAATCCCTCCCTGACTGACAAAACATTCTCACTGGATTTCAGAGACCAATAGAAGCTATATCCAGCCTCTCTCGGCCTTGATGTTTTGCCCAGTGACCTATGAACCCATTAGAAATCTAAAAATGTCCAGTTCTCAATGTTATAAAAAGCCCATGCCCTGGGGATGCAGTTGTGTAATGTGGTGGTGAGCAGCGCTTAGCAATGTGGCTGAAGCTGTCAAGGGAAGAGCTTGCATATTAACTTCCAATCGCAAACTCTTTGCTCCTTCCCTGTTGAAGAACAGGCTCCACACTCAGAGGATTAATAATTAACGGATATTACTTGATCTCACTCAATCCATTTCACAGAGCGAAATCATAGGTTGGCAGCACTTGCAGGAACCTCAAAGCCTCAGCACCTCCACTCTGAAGCCAGCAAGTTTTGGGATATTACATTGAGATTTTTTTTGAAAAGTAGTTCAGAGCCGGAAAAATACCTCATCAGCAATATCTCCTCTCCCGTGGTCACTGTGAAGTGCTGTAAGGGAATCTCTGTCTGATCAGCGTTCCAATCATTGTGCTGCACAGTAGCATTCGCTATTGTTTTGATCACTGCTCTTCTTTCACAGGGTATATGGCCTTAGCCTCTGTGTGTGATGTGTTTTGTTTCTGTAACTTGTGTGCTAGATGAGAAATTCACCATGTGACTGCACTTCTGCCTCACAAAGGGACTTTTTTTTAACATCACACTGCTCAAAACCATCAAGGGAAAACCCTGAGAAACTGTTTGTCCATGGGGAAATTTTAATCTCTGAAACTGAACTCCAGTCTAATATCTCTTGGCCAAGAAGCCAGCACTCTGGCCTCCTTTCCTCCCTCCGCCCCTCTCCCCCCCGAAGGACAACTTTGGATAGCATTGTGCGCATCTTGCATTGCAAACTCCACATGTGAGCTTAATAGAATTCTAACATTAGCTTTTGTGTGCAAATTCTATTTGCCCTGGTGGGCTTTATGGATGCAGATTCTGACACCTGCGGAATCTTTTAAAGTGTATCCAGGTGCACAGTTTTGATAGTTCACAAGCCGAACCAAGGTAGACCCTCTTAAAGTGGGTCTATATTACTTTAATTTCTGCACTTTCATCATTTCTTGTGGCAAATGTAATTAACTAGTGGCAAATTTTCCAGCAAAAAATGTCATTGAAATAAGCACCTTCCTATGAAACATTCTGATTGTGATTAAACTCTATTTCCTGATGGACGATGACATTTTTTCCACCAGATCTAATGCGAAAGTAAAAAATTCTGAAGGCTCTGTGACTAGAAAATTGATGAAAATGGTGATGTTGCAAGAGCTGACAGCATAAACTTTAATCTATAAAATGGGAGAGAGGTTTTTTTTTAGTAATACAGGCAGTCCCTGGGTTACGTACAAGATAGGGACTGTAGGTTTGTTCTTAAGTTGAATTTGTATGTAAGTCGGAACTGGTACATATTGTAGGGGAAACTCTAGCCAAACATTTCTCCAGAGCTCAGTTTTATTCTCCCACACCTCACTTCCCTCAGTCCTTTATTCTCAAGCTGAGGTGTCTGCTGAGAAAAGCCGCTTCGCGTCTCCCTGGTCTGCTGGGGGGAGGGGCGCTAGCTTTGCGTCTCCCTGGTCTGCTGGGGGGAAGCAGCTAGTGCGGGGTTGCCTCACCCCGTCTGTAAGTAGGGATCCGATGTAAGTCAGATCCATGTAACCCGGGGATTGCCTGTACTGTTTTCTTTTGGGTAGAGAATAAACCCTATATGACATCAATAGTTAATTATCACTTTGAACAGGAGAAACCCCCTCCATCCTTTCAAGTAAAGGCCTGGGAGTCAAAGTAAAATCCCTTATGTCTCGGTAGCCCTCAACAAAAACGGAGTCTCACATTTCGAAGGTAAAAGAGAAAGAAGCAGACAGGGTGGGGGAACCTCTCCAGAAGAAAAAATCCCCCCATTTTAAGTCCTTTGCAGATCATCTTTAAAAACAAAGGGGAAATTAATCCATTGCCACCCAGTATGTATCTAGTTAATGACATTTAGCTGAACAGCACTTTTTAAAAAGACCACTGTATAAAGAGATGGTACCTCTTTACTTCTGCTGCACTGTATATTATCTGCAGGCTGAACCAGCAGCAGCTCCACTGATCATGGTCAACAAGACCTTAAACTATTGGGATGCTGATTTTGAGGACGATGTCATCAACATTAATGTCGGGGGTCTGCGACGGAGGCTCAGTTCCAGTGCTCTCTCTAAATTCCCCAACACCCGGCTGGGGCGTTTGCTGTTGTGCGACTCGGAGGAGTCCATCCTGCAGCTCTGTGATGACTATGATGTGAGTGCCAGGGAGTTCTACTTTGATAGAAACCCTGGCTTCTTCCTATATGTGCTGCACTTCTACCAGACCGGGAAGCTGCATGTCATGGAGGAGCTGTGTGTCTTCTCCTTCTGCCAGGAAATAGAGTACTGGGGCATCAACGAGTTCTTCCTGGACTCCTGCTGCAGCTACCGCTACCATGAGCGCAAGCTGGAGAGCCGGCACTACAACTGGGACGACGAGAGTGAGGTCAGCAGCGTGGACACATCCCCGGATGAGATCTTGGATTTCAACCATGACCTGCTCCGCTACAGCACCCTGCGCTGCGGCAACTTGCGCAAGCGCCTCTGGCTCACCATGGAGAACCCAGGCTACTCCATCCCCAGCAAACTCTTCAGCTTCGTGTCCATAAGCGTGGTGCTTGTTTCCATCGCCACCATGTGCATCCACAGCATGTCTGAGTACCAGGTGCTCGACGAGAACGACAACTTGCTAGATGACCCCATCCTGCACAACCTGGAGTATTTCTGCATCGCTTGGTTCACCTTTGAAGTGTCCTCCCGCCTGCTCCTTGCACCCAACCTGAGGAAGTTTTTCAAGCACCCGCTGAACCTGATTGACATTGTCTCAGTGCTGCCCTTTTACTTCACCCTCTTGGTGGAAGTGACTCTGGGCAGTGACTCAGAGCTGGGGAACCTGGGCAAGGTGGTGCAGGTGTTCCGGCTCATGATTCACCTCTATTGTTCGCTAGGGGCCACCTTGAAGGTAAATGCTGCTTTATATTCTTATCTATTGCTTTTCTGTTTAGGCATGAAATATTTGCTATTGCAGTAAAATGTAGCTGATAGAGGTATCTATTAGGGATGTAAAATCCCATTTAATTGGTTAACTGGTTAAATGTTAAGTTCCAATTAAATGGGGAAGGAGGTGGAGGGACTGGTGGAGCAGTCCCCCCTGCCATGGACAGGGGCTGCTCAGGCCAGGCTGGAGTGCTCCTGCCTGTGGTGGGCCCATGGAGGTGGGCGGCTGCTCCAACCCCTATCGGTTAATCATTACCAGTAAGCCTCACCTGTTAAGGGTGAGACTTACCACTTAACCGGTTAGCCATTAACATCCCCAGTATCTACAATACTTCCACCCATGTCCCCAGCTAGTGGAAGCTGGAAGATTCCATAGAACAGTGTCACAAACTTTGTGATATACCAAAAAAATCTGATAGGCTAGGCACTGTGTGTTCCCTTAGGTGCCATAGGCACATCCATGTACACAGCTCCCAAAGGTGCACCAGCATTCATTCTTGGCCCTGGCTTTGTGGTACTCCAGCATGCCAGTCTCTGCCAGTAGAGTACCAGTGTGGTCAGAAAGCACAGGTGTAGTAGACCCAGTGGTGTGAATAGTTCCTGGGTTCAGCTTTCCTATATATTCTATGGGCTGCACTGGGGCCACGCTAGCCAGAAGCCACTTCATGTTCTAATAATACGGCATGCACCACGGAGCTCAGCTGTGCATCCTACTCCCAGAACCCAGCTTCTTCAGCTTCGCTCTACTTCTGTCTCCAGCATGGCTGAGGAAAGGCCTTCCTAGGAGCATGCTGCCAGCTCACCTGAGGCCAACACTCAAGTATTGGTCTCCCTCCCTCTAGGGAGATGAGAAGATCTTGGGCCAGCTCAGCTCAGTCGCTCGCAGTGCTTGAGTGGCTGAGGTGGGCACCACTCGGTGTGGTATACAGAGAAGGCCAAAAGACTGAAGGAGGGCAAAAAGACCAAGGCCAAAAACATAGTTTTTTGACAAAGAAATGGGCTTGAATTCTTGGCACTTGCCCTTCAACACAGTCTGCAGTCTCTCAGGCTGGCGCAGAGGTGCCTTGTGCAATTCTGAGGGCTGAACTGAAGTACACTGGTACCCTATCCTGAGCAGTCCAGCGGGACAAAGACCAGACTGGCCGATGCAGGACCAATTTGAGGGGACCTGGATTCAGACACAGCAGAAGAGACAGCCGTTAAGCAAGTCTGACAGGAAGAAGTGGAGCCTTCACAGTAGGGGCCCTCTACAGCAGGTATGCAGCTTTTTATTGTTGAGTGAACTGAGGGGGGCTGGGGAAGAGCTTTCAGGATCCATTACAAACCCTGCCATTGGTGGCCCTATAGGGACAACCAGCCTCATGAGGTGGAAATCGCCAGCCCTATCACTCGGTCTCCACTCTCCTCCTGGCCATATCAATCCGCCCCCTCCCCATTCTCCATTCACAATTAC